CCCCACTTGGCGTTCGGCCGCTCACCCCCCAACCCACACCCCCACCCCATGTCCGGCCAGTGTGCCGTGGGACAGAAGAGGTTGGGAAATGCTGCTCTATCCCTTCCAACACAGGAACAGCCTGAGCAGATGAGGGCTATAACTCAGGTGTCTCTAAAAGTCCTCATCCTACTGTTGGTTATTCCCCTTCCCCCTTTCATGGCAGCACTAAGACTCTTTCCATCAGACAAGTCCAAAACCTAAACGTGTCAAGAAACAAACTGTTAGTTGGAGGCATTTGGACAATCTGGAGTAAACCTACAGCCTGCACAAGGAGCCCCTACAGGGGTCAAGAAAGTTTCTATGTATAGCAAATGCATGCAACTGTCTAGCAGGCTAAGAGACCGAGTGGCCAAGTGATCTTCACTGGGAGATCTAAGAGCTCTCAGTAAAGGAGGGAGGGGATAGGTGGCCATGATCCCATAGCTTACAAGGCGGGTATTGGAAGCCAAATAAGGTTCTTGTATAAGTGCAGGCAGGTGGGGAAGGTCAGAGTTGAGAAGAGTGTCCAGAAAAAGGGATGTCTGGACCTGTCTTGGTCCTTTCTTTGCCCTGTAACATATCTGCTCTGTCAATGGGGCACCACAGAACCTCCCAAGACACTAGGTCTCAAATACTGAAGGTGTTCTCTCCATCATCTCCAGAAGCAGCTGTTTGCCTGGGCACTAAAATTCTCCTGGTGTGCCATGGAGATAGCTAGAAAACGAATGGCTGAAGATTTCCAAGTACATCTATCACACCAGCTTAAACTGAGCCCTCTGGGCTGCCCTGCTCAGCATTGGGGAGCTTTATAGTCAGGGTGTAGGGCATGATGGGTGAATACAGTCCTGCCCATACTGGCTCCCTGCATCACTTCCATGTCACATCTGCCGAGTCTACTGGCAAGCACCCGTTTGTTGCTGTCAGCATCCCTTGAGCTGAATGAGAGAATGCTCTGCAGAAGAGAATGCTCGTGATTCCCAACAATACCCCTGGCTACACTCCATCTTCAGAGCCTTTAAGCCTGTTGTAAGAAACTGAGCCCAGCTGGGAATTTGCAACTGAAGGAGAGTTTTGCAGTTCCAGTGGAGAAAACAATCTTAGTTTCCACATATAAAAGGAGCCAGTTTCCCAGAGGGGTTATTCAAGGACAACAGGCACAGAGCAGTCACATGTATCGGAGCGTCCCTGCTTTCTCTGCCAACACATCCTTGGTAGCTGGAAAATGGGCTGCATATAGAGGTTTAGGGGCTCATTGTTACTAGTAATTTCCTTTTTTGCTTCCTTTTCTGTTGGCTGGGATGAACACACCACCAGCTGAAACCATATGCAGCTGCACACAGTGTTCCTGCTTTGGGTTATCTCCCAGCAAGAAGGCTAACAAGCAAACAAAACAGGGAACTCTGCATAATCACAGGGCACCTCCTCCCAGGGAGGGAATGGCGCTGAGTGGCCTTGAGGAGTGCTCTATCTTGGTCTAGAGCAGAAAGTGCTTCCTGAGAACCTCAGGACTAGGGTGAAAAAGCACTGGGCAAAATGGAGACAGGGTGCATGAAAAAAGGGGGACAGAGGGTGGCAGGGAAAGAAGGCCATGCAGTGTGTACGGGGCAGAGCCAACCCATGCCACAGTTCCCCAGCCACCAGATTCCCCCTCAAGAGGAGGGAGATAAAGTTTGCCCAGATTGTGGGGGTCCCCATGTTTGGTCATTCCTGGAAAATTATTTTATTTCAGAGGTTGGCAGCTGTGTTGGGGAATGCTTGACTGGCATAGGCTAAATATTGCTGGAACCATTGCCTTCCTGAGGTAGCACTCCCAAGTGCTGTATGACAACACACTAAGGCTCAGGGAGTCACCAATACCACTCAACCCATTTGCCTGATGGCAAATCCCAGCTGGGATACACATCTTCCTCACCTCTCCTCATGGTTCCTCTGAAGACAGCTGCAGACACTCTTCTAGCTTTTCTACCCCTGCTCACAACCTGAAAGAGCCAAGTGTGGCACATAGGCCCTGACCAACAGCTTCCTGCATCGTGGGCTTAAAAAAACCCTCATTAACTGGGAGGCTAGCAGGTGAGAAGGGAACATAACAGGGGGCAACAAACATTTTGAGGAATAAGCAAGCATCATAAAATCCTTCCAGTACTTTCACAGAAAACAAGGAAGGGAGGAGGAAGGTGACCAAAGGTTCTGCTCAGAAAAAAACTTGTTGTCTTCTTCAAATCTAGGCTGCTCAGAGGCAAGAGGAATCAGTCCCTTTGTGCAGGGCAATGCCCACTTATGCAATCTATCTTGAGAAAAGGACGCATGGGCATGCTGGAAAGACAGGAGACCTTTCCCCATCAGCAATCAGTGCCGAAGATAAATCCACATTTACTGTACACAGAGACTGTGGGGGTTGGCACAGGACATGCACTGCCCACGACCTGCAAACAGGAACTGGTGCTGCAGGCACCCAAGGGGTTGGTTCTGGGTGCCGCATGCAGCCCATGCCCCAGACCCTTTGAATTACATGCAGTGCCAAGTCTAGCCTGTGCACACATGCAGTGCACGGGGCTGGGGCTGGGGCTGGGGCCAGTGCATGGAGTCAGTCCAGGGACCCACAAGCCATATCATACAGCTCCACAGGTTGGATCCAGCCCACAGGCCATACGTTTAACACCCCTGGGTTAGATTATTTTATGCCTGTTAAATCTTACTTTTGCCCCAGAACTGCTCAATCTGCATGATTACACCTATAACTGCCACCGGAGACAACACCAGTCTGATGCCCAGCCTGACAAACATAGTGTGTTATGTTTTGGCTATGAACTTTGCTTGAGGTTCTAGTAGCTAAAAATTAGTCTATAGAAAATCCTGAGGCAAGCAGTCAAAACATACCTACCACAGCGATTATATATCATAGAAGCACAGAATCATAGAAAATTAGGGTGACCTCAGGAGATCATCTAATCCAACCCCCTGCTCAAAGCAGGACCATCCCCAAGAAGATCATCCCACCCAAGGCTTTGTCTATCCACGTCTTAAAAACCTCCAAGGATGGAGATTCCACAACCTCTCTAGGTAACCTGTTCCAGTGTTTTACAACCCTGAGAAAGTTTTACCTAATATCTAACCTAAATTTCCCTTGCTGCAACTTGAGACTTTTGCTCCTTGTTCTGTCATCTGCCACCACTGAGAAAAGTCCAGCTCCATCCTCTCTGGAACCCACCCCCTTCAGGTAGCTGAAGGGCTGCTATTAAATCCTCCTCAGTCTTCTCTTCTCTAGATTAAATAAGCCCAGTTCCCTCACTGTCTCCTAAATTACGTGTCTCAGTCCCCTCACCATTTTCACTGCCCTCTGCTGGATTCTCTTGAATAAGTCCACATCCTTTCAATAGTTGGTGCCCCAAAACTGGATACAGTACTCCAGATGTGGCCTCACCAGTGCAGAATAGAGGGGAATAATCACTTCCCTCAATCTGCTGGCAACACTCCTACTAATGCAGCCCAGTATGCCGTTAGCCTTCTTAGCAACAAGGGCACACTGTTGGCTCATATTCAACTGTAATCCCCAGGTCCACTGTAACCTCCAGGTCGTTTTCTGCAGTGCTGATACTTAACCAGTTGGTTCCCAGCGCATGGGATTGTTCCATCCTAAGTGCAAAACTTTGTACTTGTCCTTATTGAACCTGATGAAATTGCTTTTGGTCCAATCCTCCAATTTGTCAAGGTCTCTCTGAATCCTAGCCGGAAATTGATGAAGATATTGAACAAAACCAGCTCCATGACCAACTCCTGGGGCACTCCACTTGATAACGGCTACCACCTAGACATCAAGCCATTGACTACTACCCTCTAAGCCCAATGATCCAGCCAGTTTTCTATCCACTTGATAGTCCATTCATCCAACCCATACTTCCTTAGCTTGCCTGCAAAAATGTTGTGGGAGACCGTATCAAAAGCCTTGCTAAAGTCAAAGTATATCACATCCACTGTTCTTCCTGTATCCACAAAGCCAGTCATCTCATCATAGAAGGCAATCAGGATGGTCAGGCATAACTTGCCCTTGGTGAATCCATACTCACTGCTCCTAATCACCATCTTCTCCTCCAAGTGCTTAGAAATGGTTTCCTTGAGGACCTGCTCCATGATTTTCCAGGAACTGAAGTGAGGCTAACTGGTCTGTAGTTCCCTGGATCCTCCTCTTCCCCTTCTGAAAGGTGGGCACTATATTTGCCCTTTTCCAATCATCCAGGACCTCTCCTGATCACCACAATTTAAAAGATGATGGCTAGAGGCTCTTCAATCACATCAGCCAACTCCCTTAGCACCCTTGGGAGTATCACATCTGACCCCATGGACTTGTACACATCCAGCTTTTCTAAATAACCTATTCTTCTAACCTGTTCTTTTCTGAAAGGTGGGCACTATATTTGCCCTTTTCCAATCATCCAGGACCTCTCCTGATCACCACAATTTAAAAGATGATGGCTAGAGGCTCTTCAATCACATCAGCCAACTCCCTTAGCACCCTTGGGAGTATCACATCTGACCCCATGGACTTGTACACATCCAGCTTTTCTAAATAACCTATTCTTCTAACCTGTTCTTTTGCCACTGTTAGCTGCTCACCTTCTCCCCAAACTGTGCTGCCAGGTGCAGCAGTCTGGGAGTTGACCTTGCCCGTGAAGACTGAGATGAAAAAGGCATTAAGTACTTCTGCCATTTTTGCATCCTCTGTCTGTAGGTTGCCTTCCTAGTAAGTTCAGTAAGGGACCTATGCTTTCTCTTTTCTTTCTTTTGTTGCTGACATACTTGTAGAAACCCTTCTTGTTACCCTTCATATCCCTTCCTAGCTACAACTCCAACTGTGTCTTGGACTTCCTGATTTCATCTCTGTATGCCCAAGCAATGCTCTTATATGCCTCCCTGGTTGTTTGTCCAAGTTTCCGCTTCTGGTAAACTTCCTTTTTGTGTTTTAGCTCACTGAAGAGTTCTCTGCTAAACCAAGCTCATCTTCTGCCATACATGCTAGTCTTCCTGTATATCAGGATGGTTCACTCCTGTGCCCTCAGTAAGGTTTCTTCAAAATAAAATAAAATATATGGAGATAGACCTCACTGAGTGGCAATGCCATGAGCAGGAGATCTTTTCAGCCCAAAGGATGCCCCTCACTTTAAACCAAAATGTATGCTCATTCCACATTCAGATGTAATCACCGTGAGTTATTTAGCCTGGAAATGCAGACTCCTGACATGAGGCTGGAGATAAGGTACAATGTTGATAAAGACAACATTAGCCTCTGCCCCATTTTTAGATCTGAATGGATTGAGACTGGGAAGATGCACCAGACTCTCCTTGCAACATTTTAAATGGGGACTGCCAAAGCATTGCACTTGACTCTGCTGTGGAGTTGTGGTCTATAGACCAACAGGTCCCAGCAGGACATAAGCAAATTGCTCCTTGGTATTAGCAAGCCAGAATTCTGGGGATCAAAACAGACCTTTGCATGGTGAGACTGGAAGCTATGACCAGCCACTTCTTAGCTTACAGACAACAGAAAGACCAACTGCCTGAAGAGGCAAGGCCCCCAGCCCCTGATAAATTTTCAGTACGGCCCCCTCCCTGGGCAAAAATCTAGCTGTAATTAGCATTGGTTTAAAAATCAGACTCCAATACATGTGAAACCAGCCCCAGTCTCTCCCTAAATCAAAACCGCTGTGGAATAAAAAGGCATGTCCCCCTAGGCAGCAGGGTGGAGTTTCCAGCTAGTAAGACTCCCAAGTATTTGAAGATAGGGGTTTGACCACGTGTATGTAGATACCCAATTCTGCCTTTGAAATAACCCACTTTGCAGAGGGCACTGAAAGCAGAACACTGACTGCCAACACCCCAGCATATCTGGAGATCTGAAGAGGAAGTCAGGATTCAAGTCTAGTTTCAGGCTTAAAGCGCACAGTGGACCCCCATCTCCCTCACATGGGGAACTCAGATTCAGATTCTGAGCAGCCCCAACCTTGGCAGCATTTGAAATCTCAGGTCTAAAGTTGTGTCCAGACCTGGTTACAACAGCAGAGATCTGCTCTTCCCATTAAAATCATTCAGGTTCAGAATGAAATAAGTCACTCAAACTCAGAGTAGCAGTCCTATTGGTGCAAACAGATTTGATTAATCTGTGATTTGCTAGTTGCAAGATGTGGGGGAGTTTGGTCAGGGAACTGGTTTTGACTGGGGAGGTATGATCTTGCCCGTGACAATCAAATGGGATTTGCTGTGCATCATGTAATCCTGGCCTGATAGTGACTGTGAAGGGAAGAGAAGCTGATCCTGACAAAAGGACAAATTTAAAGTCATTAAGCTTCCTTGTACTGAGCTCTCACATGCAAAGAGACCAAAAGTGTCCATTTGCTAAGATAGACAGTGCCAGCATGCAGGTCACAGTGAGGAGGAAAGCGTCTCAGAGGGGGAAGAGCACTGCAGTCCTCTGAAGAATAATGTTTCTGTCAGGCCTCCACTGCATGGAGTCAGTGAATCTAGGCTCACCAGGAAACTACATCTCCTTTAATCAGAGGAAGGCCACTAAGTGTGCAGTAACAGAATCCTTGGGACAAAGATGAGAAAACATGGATGGGAGTGAAGGTCAAAGGCTGATGACGTGGGTTCCAGGGGGAGGGCACTGAGCAGAAAATAAATGTTTCAGTCAGAAGGTCTTGCTCTTCTGCATCTTCCCCTGCTCCTACAGCCAGAATCAGCATAATACTCACGTAGCATCTTATCAGAGGTGCCTGCACAGATTTGTTACTACGTCAGCATGACTGCAGTGATTTAAAGAGCACCAACTAAGGTAAGTCTAAAGCAGGGAAAGGGAAAAGGAGAATGGTGGTTAATAAGCAAACAGATCAGAGCTGATTCTGCATCTATAGAGCTCTTCAGACAGAAAACAGAGAGAAGGATATATTCACTTTTCACCTTAGTCCTTAGGAAAAAAACAAAACCTAACTCCTATGGGACACAGGTGACAAAAATAAAGGAGAGGAGAGACTGGAAAGGAAGATACAGGAGCCCCAGAGACCATGGGCGAATTGATTTATGGTGAATTAAAATATGTGTTTTAAATAATTCAATATGTGAATTCAAACAAATAACCCTGCCCAATCATCCCCTTTAAGAAGAATCTGCCTGAGCAAAATATTTTTGTCTCTGGACAAGTACTGGCATGAGGTCAGCTCAAGACATGAGTTAAGATCATCAGACCTAACCAATGGCCACACAGACAACCAAGGACTAATATTCAGCAGATTCAAAATGACTGCTTGGGAGGGGTATGATTGCCATCTGTAATTTAAAATACAGAGTCACAGTATCATAGATGTGACCAGTATCATGTATGACCAGTGTCATGTATTTGGGATACTGAGTGGGGAATAAACATTCATCCCCCAGTTAAACTAAAATCAAAGCTCAGGTCACCATTAGTGAGGAATGGAATCAGTGGAGACCCATCAGTCTTTGCCAGTCACTTCTCCCTCCCAAAGCCCCATTCATCTCCATAGACCAGATGATGGCCCAGCATGGCCTGCTGAATCCCTGCATGCAGAATAAAGGCAGGAGCCCCATAATAACATGGATTTCTGTTGCTATGGCAATTGCAGCATGACAACTGCAGAACTAAAAGCTGGGGCGTTCTGCTCTGCTTTCCTGCTACTCCCCCCTCCCAACCACAATTTCTTTCTTCTCACCAACATGCTGCTGAGGACTATAACACTCAAGTGGAGGAGTGAGGAGAAGCTTCATGACCCAGCCCACTGCAGAGCAATAGCATCTTATCACAGAGGCTGTCAAGCTAAAAAACCCATAACAGGAACGATGTCCTGGGAACAGGGAGGAACCTGCTGGTGCCTAAAGCTTAGCCTTGGCAGCAGTTTTGCAATGCAAAACCCTCCAGGGTCTGGAACAACAACCACCTTTGAGCCATAGAGATGTGGGTAGGATTTGACTTGTGACACCTACACAGTCCTCTTCCAAGCACTTCAGAGGTAGCCAGTATCATTACCTTCTTCCTAGAGATCGGGAAACCAAGCCACAGAGTGTGGGAATGGGCAGGGAAACAGACACAGCCAGAGCTAAATTCCACCCTTTTTTGCACCTATGTGAATGCAGAACAGCTCTGTTTACCCTCCTAGGGAGTGACCCCAGAAAAGCAGAGCACCTTCTGAGCCCATATATCAAAGGTATGGCAGCACAGTCCTTTTGCACTAGGCCACTGGGGCCAACCTGTTCAGAGCAGGGAAACCCTTTAAATCCTGTGGGACTTCTCAAGAGCCCCAGTGCACGCAGCTGTACAGGCTACTCCAAGGAAACACCAGTGCCTACCTGGAGCGCAGGAAGACGGCTTTGCTGGTTGGGAATGACTTTTATTGAGACTGTCCCCTTGGTTTCTTTCTATTGGAAGGTGAAAGAAAAAAAGAGTTGAAGAATGTGGCTTCCCAGACATCAGCCCAAGGACCCCAGGGTGCCAAAAACCTTCAGCTGTACAAGACATTGACTACTGGAAACATCCCAAAGGCTAAGATGTTTCTAGCAGACAGCACTAAGTCCTGGACAGAGATGTGCTTCATTTAGGAAGCAAAGCGCTACTGGGGCCCAGGGGAGCCAGACACACTGCTGCAGTGGCCAAAGGTATTTGCACTGTTTGAACCCCAGAACCAGCTCCAACAGTGTACATAGAATAGGGCTCTGAGCTAAGAGCAGGTAGAATGGCAACACCAGAATGAACTTGGATTGAGAAGCAAGTCCACCCCCAGCTCAGCCTCCCCAGAGGAACTTCAGGGCCAAGAGGCAGCAACACCCCAGACTGGGGAGAAAATGCCGCTTCAAGTCACTAGTTAGTACCAGTTCTTCCCTGCTCCTTGAGAGCAGCCCAACCTCTGTGGTATGGGTTAACAAACCACAATGGGAGGGGCTGGGAATGGGGCAATTGTAGTATAACCACCAGAACTCAAATAGAGATAGCTCTTCCTGCCCCTTCCACAGAGGGATCAGCCCCCCCCATTGATACCTGTATCTTCTCTGCTGGGACCCCTTGTCATAGGCTGATGTGAGCTCTCAGGATAAGCACCCTTGGCAGGAGGCAGCAAGCTGACATGTAAGTTATGACAGCCTGGGCTGCCCATATGCTGGAGAAAGATACTTGTCAGTAGTTGGGCTGGCTGCTGCCTACTGAAGGTTGCAAAAGGCTCAACATGACCAGCAACTGGAAGGCCAAAACCTGGATGGTCATTACTAGCTTTATTCCCATGGGAAATAGGGGCTTTGTTCTACGGGCTTGTACAACAACAAAATTAAAACCTCAGCCGAAGAACTGGAGCCCTCGATCAGGATTGTGCACGCACAAACCCTTCTGGGGTTTCCACATAGCAATGGCCTATACCAATATGTGATTCATCCTTTCATGTCACTAATACCAGCCACAGTAAAAGAACAATCATAGCTTCTCCCACAGCAGGAGGTGTAGTGACAACTGCCATCATTCACAGAGGATGTTGCTACAGAATCCAATGAAAAAGCAACCCAAACTTAGTACTCAGGTGAATGAGGCTGACCCCACAAGCTGTTTAAAAAGAGCATGCAAAGTAGCAGTTTGGAGGTGACTGAACTGAATAGCAAGCAAAGAAATATAACATGAATCCCAAGACTTCTCTCTTTGCCTCTCAGGAAATTTATTAAAGAAAGGCAGCTCAGCTTTGCTGGCTCCAGGGAAATCCTATTTATAGGTGTGGGTCAAATTTATTTCTCTTTAAATTTACATGGTAGGCTCAAGAATGAAAATACATTAAATAACTACATCAAGCATGCATGGCAAGGGCCCTTCCTCAAGAGCGGTACCCTGCAATACCTACCAGCATCTTCTGCAGCTGGTCAACTGAGTGGTTGTTCACACTCTGCCCATTGATTTCTAGGATCTCATCACCCACATGAAGGGAGCCTGCCAGTGACAGGAGAAATGGACCCATGAAATGCAAGAACAGGCAAGATGTGTCACTACTGTCCCAGATGTCATGGAGCACACAACTTCCCAACCTGCTAATGAAGCTCAAGAATGCTGATTGAAACTCCATGGGCGTTGTCTTATGAGGAAGCCAAGAGACCCAACATCTCATACCAAGCTGAACATAGACTGGTTTGTTCAGCATGTTTCTACCAAAAAGCCCTCTATGTGTTGGTTTACACACATGCATAAGCAAGCGTTTGGTAGCAATGAATATGGAGAACATTGCTCTCCCCACTCCATATATATACTTTCCCCTATCTATTTTTCTTAAATTTACGAAGCACCAAGGCTAGTCATCCTGGATTCTGATTTTATTCATGCTATGGTTTTGCTTGTGGGCAAACATTTAATTTTGGGGACAGGCAAAATTAAAATAAATACATAAATTAAAATTAAAATAAATAAATCTCAAGCTACATTTTAGCAGAGCCCTTTTCTGCAAACAGTAGTTTGGGGTTCTAATTCAAGATGTCTGTGAGGGCCAGCTTCTGATCTCAGATATGCTGCTGTACATCAAGAGGAAAATAACATCATTAGAGTTGTATTGGCCTTAAATGAGTGGTGTACAGGAGATCAGACTTAGATCTTTGTTTTCTACATGGGTCAATAAAGCAAAAGAAAAGCCACCCTGTTGCAGAGACAGAACACCCTACCATGCACACAGGTGCCAAGAAGTGATTGACTGTGTTAATCTGAAGTCAGGCAGAAGGCAAGCCAAGATGACACCTTAGAGAATAACTGGTTCAGAGAGGCATGTGGTTTCAAAGGCAACAGCCTACTTCATCAGATGCTATGAATGGATGGGCTGTCCATTTCCCTTCAACATAAAATTCTTTCTGCCTGTCCTTTCACAGAGGTTGATGAAGTAAGTTGTTGCCTGCAAAAGCTCATGTCCCTCTTAACCAGTTATGCATAAGTGCATCAACAGAAAAGGAAATAATGGATGTTTTTTATTTAATTTCTACTCACAGGACCTCAGCACAGAACTTCTCCCTTATTTGTGCAATTTATGGATGGGGATAAAGCCTTCCTTCAGTCTCCAGATATGATTGATATCTAGGGACAAGGAATCCATCAGCAAAATGCACCCAAAGGGTCCTAGGATGTTTGCCGATGCAAGCCTGCCAACTGCTCCTGCTTCTTTCCCAACCCCTATTAACACCTTGAAGCCTCCACTGTGTTAATGCAGCTAACATGTAAAGGGAAGGGGACATGAGCCTCCTTGGTTTCAGACATACTTTGGGCAGGAAAGGGCATTGAAAATACATTTCAGAGCCGAGGACTGTTTAATCCCTTTGCACTGAAATTATCCAGTTCCAAAGATGAACCCAACAACCCATCCTGGGCAAGTGGGTGGCGAGGGAGGGGTTAAAGTCTCTGACTGTAGCAGGAGCCTTTGGTGCCTGCATCTCTCATCTAGGTCAGATACAACTTCAGATTCCAGCCACCTGCTGTTACCTTGTCTGTGAATCATGCCTCCGTGAAGAATCCTGGCCACCGTGCAGCTCTGCTTCTCATTCAACTTCAACGTGATTCCCTAGAAGATAGGAAAATCCATGAAAGCCCCAGCTGTTGTGGGAAAGTCCTGTCCTGGCCAGTATCCAAGATGGTATGCCTGGTTTTTCACAGAGAGTCATCCCCAGGGCCCAATCCAGTCTGAACAAACTCTTCTTGCCAGAACAGGTATGTGTCAAAGTGTTCTCCTCCAGGCTCCTGGCAGAATAGACATTGGTCTGGCTGAGGCCTCCCAAGCTTGATATCACTGTGCACTGGCTGTCCCCCGCCCCCAGCCCTAGGACCTGGACTGGACATTTTCTCCTACTGTTGGTGCCAGTGCAATGGACTCCCCAATTCCTGCAGTCACAAGGGTGAATGCACTCTTGCCAGCTCACCATGGGCTCCTCCGTGACCTTCTCAAACTGGACGAGCCGTACTTTCCTCACCTCTCGGCCATTCATGTGGGCTGGGCTGCCTGGGGCAGCGGAGCCATTGGTGTAAATGTCTTCAGTCATGGTGTTTGGCAAGGGAGTGACAGCCTGTCAGGGCAAAACAAAGATGGGGATTTAGGGACAGCCTGGGAGCCCCTGCAACATGCTCTTGTGACTGGGAGTGGAGCCAGTCTGGAAATCCCCAGCAGATCCATGACACGTCCTAAGAGAAAGACTGAACAGGGACCCCTCTGCACCATGATCCAAACTTGTTGCCTCTAAGGTGCATAATCTGCTCAGAAAACTGAAGCCTCTCCCACAACCAGGGCCAACTGTGAAGCTGTTACCCAATCAGAGAGGTTAGTAGTACAGGCACATCACTCCATTTGAATGGGCAAGCACTGGACATGCAGCAAAGATGGCTCTCCCTGCTCAAGAGGGATATTGAAGCAAGAGTCACTCCTGCTGGCCAGATGAGGCAAGACACTAACAGAGCTCACTGCAGGGAACAGTTAGCAGGAGGGGCCTGTCCACAAGGCAGAAGGAAAAGCAAGCAAAAAGGACAGTAGCAGGCAGGACTTCACCATGAGACACAGACAGGCTTGATTAGCTTTGTTTCCAGGCTGAAGGTTTGAGAGGTGATAACACTTGAGAAAAGAGGGCATCAGCCCAAAGGTTCCTGGGTATGTGTCCTGCGGCAAAGAGCTCCGTGGCTTTGTTACGTCACAGTAGAAGCCTTGGAATAGCATGGTATAGCCAAACTCTACTCCTCGTTACACGAGTAGTGGATCCAAAGTAACTCCACCACAGTGGATGAAGTCACTCTGGATTCACACTCATGTAAGTACGAGCAGAAGCTACTTTTCTCTCCTGTCCAAGCAGCACAGTCATTTCCAGTTTAATGTCTCAGCATGTTTCTTCTCCACAACAAGCCACCAGGTACCACATGCTAAACTTGGTGGGTAACTGACACAGGATTTAAGTGCATTTCCACTCATAGGTGCAGCAATATGCCAACAATTCACTCTGCTGAAGGATCTCCAAGGGAGCATTAACCAGCATCCCCAAAATTTCTCTCACACAGCCCAAATCCCAGAGCCAGATGCACTTCCAGCAGAGATCTTGGCAGAGCCTTCTCCACCTCTGACATAATGTCACAAACTAGCAGGACCACATAGTGATGATGCATCACAAGGTGGCACCTAAATGATAAAATAGCTGCTCCATGGGTCAACAAGAAACCAAGACACAGCCTGAAACAGATTCCTCAGAACCATGTTAATGGCACAGTACAGGACAGAGGCAGGACAGGGAGATGGCAGCAAAAAGAAGCAGGCTTGAGGCCAAGTTCTAGCAAGAAATGCTTGATTCCCCTCATTTAAAATGGCTTAAGGATGTGTTTGATGCCAAAAAGCAGAGTGGGGCGGGGAGGAGGGGGAGGAAGGGAAATTCAGGTGATGAGAAACTGTCTTTCCAATGTCCTGTTCCAGGCTAGCCCTGTGAAGGGAAGGGAGGTGGTGGGAGGGGATATGCCCCTCCCCTTCTGCAGTCAGAGCACCCAGCCTGCCAGCAGGCATCCTCCAAATCCCTAGCCTGCCCACGCACCCTGCCAAGCAGCAGGGCAGGCTGCAAAGTGAGCAGTCATCTGTTACCTGCTTCCGATTCATCACAGGAGCCATTTGACCCCCATGATGCTTGAATCCTGACAATCCGGCCATTACTTAAATGCCAGCATATGCCCCAACTCTCTCCCCACACCCCATTCCAGACAGTCCCAGAGCTCCCTGGACCACCAGCATGACACTCTCACTGCCCCAAATGGGCCTGGTCCCAGTCTAATGATGCTTTCCAGATAAGGAATGGAAGCATCACCAAGCCAGGTTATAGTCTCCTGTGCAAAGTTCTGGGGTCACTGGTCACACTTGGATCTCAAGGATATTGTACAAAGCACCAGCCTGAATCTGTGAACAGGACACACAGGGCTAAGATCATCCCAGGGGGGAATGGGGATGGTGCTGTGGTGCAGTCAATGCAATTGTACCACAGGGGCTCTGGGAAGCTGCAGCATGGGTGCAGAGATGTGAACTAGATGCACAGAATTTAGACCACACCATCTGCAGCACTGTCAGTGGCTTCCTGCTAGATAATGACCTGCAGCCACTCTAGCTAGTCCCAGTCTAGGCTTCTCCAAGCTCTAATGTTCAGCCTTTACTATAGTTCCTGACCAGCTCCCTCACGCAGCCCTCTGCCAATGCACCTCAGCCCTGATCAACAGCCAACCAGCCCTGGGCACAGTGCTGGTGAGTCTCTCATACACCTCTCCTCTACACCCAGGACTATACAGTGTTGCCTCAGGTAAAGCAAACACTCCCAGATGTCCTGACGAGATATTCCTCCATTGGTTTTACTGCTGCATTAACACTTAACCAGCTGCACAGAGCAACCTTTCCAGGCCAAGTCCATTAACCTCTTCTGGTGTTGAGGTGGCAAAATGCATTTGTGCTAATGTTAAGGAAAGTAGAACACCTTCCAGCTAAGACTTGGGGGCTGGCAGGTGAGGGTAGTATAGATCTGCAGCTAAATCAGAGATGTATAGCAGTGCTTTCATGAGCTCAAGCTCATTTCATCTGATGCAGCTAAGAAACTTCAGAGGACCAGTTGCATTCTGCATGCTAGTGCCAGCATCACCCCAATCACGATCCCCTTGCAGCTCACTCCAAGGTGCTGATCATTGCCCTTGTCAGCTTTACTCCTGCATGAGTGACTCTGCACACTGTGTCCTAGCAAGCAGAATGAATTGTTCCTTTCCCTGTGGTGCAATCAGCTACTGCATCCTCCCCTTAGGCCCTGTGGACTTGCATTAGACAACCAGCCCACACCAGCCACCTCGGCTTGTTCCCACCTGCCATCTCAATCAGCATTACAGCCATTCGTCATCCCTAGTGGAATTCTCTCCACAGAAACAGCTGAGATGCAGGGACTCTCTCCTCGCTGGAGGGATGCCCAGCTGCATGCACCAGACACAGCACTTTTTGCACACATCCTTTGATGGAAAATCTCTCGGGATCACCACAAATTACACAGGCTTTCTAAAACAGCACAAGGCAATTGTTTCAAGAAGCTGGCAGGCATTTCCCCATATATGTGGGGAGCCGGAGGAAAAGCAGGGGCAACGTTGGACCCCTGCTGAGAGGTGGAGAACCAACCTTGGCCAAATCTGTACTTAGTTCTGGGAAAGTCTGAGTTTTGGCAAATATGCTGAGGAAAATGTAATGACCAGCAAACCTGAGGCTGAGGCAGCCCAACATTTTATCTCCTGAGTCTAATTTCAAGTTTTCTGACATCTCTTAATTGACTTCAGTGCATGCATTTGATGGCATCACTTTAGTTTTCCAGAAATGCTTGCACAGTTTGGAGGGGGAAAAGAAACCATTTTCTGAGTGGATACCAGCACTGCTGTAACTATCAGTAGTAGATTCATGGCAGAACATGCTCAGATTCCCAGCAACACTGAAACCAACCACAATTTTTTCTTTGAGGTTTGAGATGGTTTGGACTATTATTCTTCTGAAGAGTAGAAAATAGGAGGATACTTTTAACCTATTAAATAGGTACTTTGCGTCAGTCTTTCATCAGTCCCATGGGACGCCCATGCCCGCTACAGGGCCGGGAAGTCCGGGTGAGGGTGATCCCCTGCCCTCCCTTAATGCTGACTTTCTGAAGGAACATCTTGAGAAGCTGGATACCTTCAAGTCAGCTGGCCCTGACAATCTTCACCCCAGGGTACTCAAGGAGCTGGTGAGCATCATAGCCCAGCCTCTAGCACGGATCTTTGAAAACTCTTGGTGCTCTGGTGTAGTGCCTGAAGACTGGAAGAAGGCCAATGTGGTGCCTATCTTCAAGAAAGGGAGGAAAGTGGATCCGGCTAACTATAGGCCCATCAGCCTGACTTCTATCCCGGGGAAGATCTTAGAAAAGTTTATTAAAGAGGCCATCCTTAATGGACTGGCCGACGCCAACATCTTAAGGGATAGCCAGCACGGGTTTGTTGCGGGTAGGTCTTGCTTGACCAATCTCATTTCCTTCTATGACCAGGTGACCTATCACCTGGACAAGGGGGAAGAGATTGATGTCATATATCTTGACTTCAAAAAAGCCTTTGACCTGGTTTCCCATAATCACCTCTTAGAGAAACTGGCCATAGATGCTTCTCAAGCAAATCCCGGGACGTCATTCTCCCCTTGTACTCGGCCTTAGTGAGGCCGCAGCTGGAGTACTGCGTCCAGTTTTGGGCTCCACAATTCAAAAAGGATGTGGAGAAGCTTGAGAGAGTCCAGAGAAGAGCCACGCGCATGATCAGAGGTCAGGGAAGCAGACCCTACGATGACAGGCTGAGAGCCCTGGGTCTTTTTAGCCTGGAAAAGCGCAGGCTCAGGGGTGATCTGATGGCCACCTATAAGTTTATCAGGGGTGACCACCAGTATCTGGGGGAACGTTTGTTCACCAGAGCACCCCAAGGGATGATGACTAGGTCGAATGGTCATAAACTACTACAAGACCATTTCAGGCTGGACATAAGGAAGAATTTCTTTACTGTCCGAGCCCCCAAGGTCTGGAACAGCCTGCCACCGGAGGTGGTTCAAGCGCCTACATTGAACACCTTCAAGAGCAAACTGGATGCTTATCTTGCTGGGATCCTATGACCCCAGCTGACTTCCTGCCCTTTAGGCAGGGGGCTAGACTCGATGATCTTCCGAGGTCCCTTCCAGCCCTAATGTCTATGAAATCTATGAATTTCAGAATGAGCACACAACAGACCCCAGTTGGGTCAGGGGGATCTGAACCTTTGACCTTCAGGTCCAAAGACACAAGTCTACCGCTCCTACTACAGAAAGAGTTCCCCTGATAACTGCAGTAATAAGATATTCACATAGGCCAGCCACTAGAGGGAGACAGAGACCTGCACTGTGCCAGGGTGGGTTACTTAAGCCTCACCTCCACATAGAAACCTGTGTGGCACTGGGAGGTAGGGAGCACAGAAAAACAGGGCAGACTCCAAACCTAAAGTGCAGAACAACCCGTTGAGGAGTGAGCCCTGTAGGAGCCCC